TTCTTTGTCACTTTCTCTTGTCAATCATTAGTTACTTTTGGCCATATACTATTAGTTACTTTTGGCCATACACTATTTGTTATACTATTAACAGTTTACAGTAACACAGGTCTGTAGCACAGAATAATCGTCCCCCACGTAAATTACCCTATAATAAAATTCTGTTATATTCTATGGAGTTGCTTGTATTGGTCTTTGGTCTGAAGACACCTTTTGGTTACAACGGCCATTATACCTTTGCCCCACGGTCAGACAAGTTCTGTGGCATTAAGTACATTCACATTGTTGTGCAACCATCACCACCAGAACTCTTTTCATTTTGCAAAACGTAAACTCTACCGATTAAACAATAACTCCCCTCCTCTCAGACCCCAGCAACCACCATTCTAATTTCTGTATATCTATGAATTTGATTACTCCAGGTCTACCTTATATAAGAGGAATCATACAGTATGTGTCTTTTAGTGACTGGTTTATATCACTTAACATAACGTCCTCAAGTTTCATCCATTTTATAGCATGTATCAGAATTTCCTTTCTTTATAAGGCTGAATAATATTCCATTTGTGTATGTACCACATTGTTGACCCATTCATCAGTCAGTGAACATGTAGGTTGTTGCTTCTATCCCTTGGCTATTGTGAACAATGCTGCTGTGAACATGGGCGTACAAATATCTCTTTGAGTCCTCACATACATATTTTTATATCTAAAACTTTTTTGTGCCATGGAAATTGCATAAGTGATCAATTGCTGCATAATAAACCGCCCTAGAAGTTGATGGCTTATCACAGCAATGATAAGCCATCTCCTGGTTCTGTGAGTTGGCTAGATGGTTCTTTTGCTTGTTAACCTGCCTCTGTCCACAGTGGCATTCAGTTGGGAGACCTGGTGGGCCCACAGGTCCACATTGGCTTCATTCACATGTCTAGCAGCTGGACTTGGCTCTTGCCTGGTTCTCCTCCATGTGGCCTCTTATCCTCTAGAGCAGTGGTTCTCAACCTTCCTAATGCTGCGACCCTTTAATACAGTTCCTCATGTTATGGTGACCCCCAATTTCATTGTTACAAATTGAACATCATTAAAGCACAGTGATTAATCACAAAAACAATATGTAATTATGTATGTGTTTTCCGATGGTCTGAGGCGACCCCTGTGAAAGGGTCGTTCAGCCCCCAAAGGGGTCGCGACCCACAGGTTGAGAACCACTGCCCTAGTGGTTAGGCCAATTTTCTTACATGGCAGCCTCACAGAGGTATGGAGAAGGGGAAAGCGGAACCGGCAAGGTTTCTGAGGCACAGGCTCCGGAACTTGCTCAGTGTCGCTTCAGTTATCTTCGATTGGTCCAAGCAAATGTCAAAGACGGCTCCTGGCCAGTGGGAAATACAGTCCACCTCTTGACAAGAGTGGCTGCAAAGAATTATCTGTGGCCACATTTCATCTACCACAGGAATATATTACCTATTCGAAAATATTAAACAAAAATGTTTATAGCTGGCCGTGACTGGGTGGCTTAGTTGGTTGGCGCATGGTCCAGTACATCAAAAGGCTGCAGGTTCGATTTCCAGTCAGGACACATACCTATGTCGTAGGTTTGATCCCCAGTCAGGGTGCGTACTGGAGGAAACGGATCTGCGTGTGTGTGTGTGTGTGTGTGTGTGTGTGTGTGTGTGTGTGTTCTTTGAATGTGCTGAACCCTTTATGGATGCAGGGCTTTTGCACATGCCATTCCCTCTGGTGGAACACTAATCCTACTCTTTGCCTGGCAGCAGAACACAGTAGTTGTTGAGGACTAAATCGTGCTTCCCTCCACCCCCTTTCTTATGTTGAAACCCTAACCTTCAGTACCTTAGAATATGACTGTTATTTAGAAATAGGGCCTTCAAAGACGTAATTAAGGTAAAATGAGGTTATTCGGGTAGGCGCTTATCCGCTACGACACAAACACACATCGAGGGAAGAGCATGTGAGGACACAGGGAGAAGGCAATCTACAAGCCCAGGCAAGAGGCCTCAGGAGAAATCAATTCTGCTAATATCTACGTCAGATATCTGGCCTTCAGAATTGTGAGAAAAGAAGTTGTCATGGCTGCTCTAGCAAACTGTACAGTAGTTAAGCAGCTGAATTCTGAAGCAGTCTTCCTAGTTGTAAAACCTGCTGCTGTCAATTCCTAGCTGTGTAACTTTGGGCAAATTACTGACCCTTTTTCTGTAAAATGGGGATGATAGCAATAGTACCAATAGAGTGACAGCCATCTGGTCTGCCCCAGTCTGAGGGGTCTTCTGGGATGCAGGACTTTTTGTGCTAAAATCTGACGAGTCACCCTATACTGAACATGGTTGCTGTGAAACTGAATGAAGGATTCCTAGTACATGGTAAACACGCTAAGTAACAGGTATAGTTACTATTAAATATATTTCAGATTTAGATTAACTGTTAAATCTGAAATACTTTCAGGGAAAGAGATACTTTCCCTGACCCCATAATCTGGATTAGGACTCCTTGTTAGATTCTTTTTTATTTAAAAAAAAAATGTTTTTACTGATTTTAGAGAAAGAAGAAACATCAACTGGCTGCCTCCTGCATGCCCCCTGCTGGGAATCCAGCCTGAAACCTGGGAATGTGCCCTGACCTGGCATTGAACCTGCCAACTTTTGGTACATGGGTTGAGGCTCCACCACCTGAGCCATGCCAGCCAGGACTCCTTGTTAAGTTCTTTCATAGCATCTGGTTCTTTTTTTTTTTTGGTCAGTGGTTTCCCAAAATCCATTCTCCTTATTTTCAATAATAATAGGACCCCTGATTTCTAACTGGGCACATGGCTGCCTGGAATAAAGACTATTTCCCAGCTTCCTTGGTAGAAGAGTAAGTTTTGACCAATGGGCTATGAGCTAATGCGATATGTGTAAATTCTGGGTTGTATCCTTCAAGCGGCAGGGGAAAAACTGACATCTGTATTTTCACTGACTGCTAACTAAAATTCAGCATTTGCTTCAACTATGAATATAGGGAACAAAGCATAAAGTATCAGCAGTAACTGTGATCTTGTCACCAAATGAAATCACAGACATTTTCATCCTATATAATAAAGGCCAAATATGCAAACTGTCCCCTTGGGCAGCCCTTCAACCAGGAGTTCGACCGCTTGCTTTGACGTGCGCTGACCACCAGGGGGCAGTGTGGAACATGGCGGGCATTGGCGATGCGGTTCTGGCAGTGGGCAGCAGTGGAGGCACTGCCAGCCCCGATGGGCCCCAACAAGAGGACAAGAGCAGGGCCGGATGGTGGAGCAGGTGAGGGGTCAGCGCCAGGCTAAGGCAGGGTGCCAGGCCGGGCTGTGGGGCTGCGAGGCTGGGAGCATGAACTGGGGCCCGATCTCCGCAGGCCACCCCGAGGGACCCCACCCATGCACAAATTCCTGCACCGGGCCTCTAGTAGCACATAACGGTTTTACAGATATCTATTATGTTGTTTACAGTCATCACCACTATGAAATCTGACATTAGACTCACGACTAGACCTTATTATTTAATGCTTACAGCAGCACACATACTGCTATGTGTCAGGGCGCAAAAGTGGCGAAGGACTCCTTCCTGTCTTGCCCCTGGCCCTTTTGTCACTCATGTGGAACTCGCAGTAGGTCGTCTTGAACATGCAGGTGAGGAAGAGGTAATGTCGACTCCAAAGTGTTTCCCTTGGTTGCGAGAAGGGGGACACGGTCCAGATGAGTAAAGAGAGTCAGGAGAGGAGGCCGTTTGACTTGGTTTTCAGACATGCGACCTGTGAAGTAATGGCAAGGTGTCCAGATGGAAAAGGCCAGCGAGGCAGGCGGGAGATCAGAATTGGAGACGAAGGTGAGTGATTTTTCTTTTTAAAAGGAGCAGGTTTAAACTGGTGTGAGAACACTAGTGTGTGCCTGCCAGAGCTAAGGAACAGAAGCCCAGAGGGAAAAGAGGACATCGTGCAGGAAGGACTGAGGCCCTGCGTGGGCTGAAGAGAGGCAAAACCAAAGCAGGATGAATTGGAGAGAGGATCTATCTATCTATCTATCTATCTATCTATCTATCATCTATCTATCTATCTATCATCTATCTATCTATCTATCTATCTATCTATCTGTCGATATAGATATTGATTTCAGAGAGGGAGAGAGAGATAGAAACATAAATGATGAGAGAGAATTATTGATTGGCTGCCTCCTGCACGCCCTCCACTGGGGATGGAGCCCACAACCTGGGCATGTGTCCATGACCGGGTTCGAACCTTGGGACCCTTTAGTCCGCAGGCCAATGCTCTATCCACTGAGCCAAACCAGCCGGGGCTGGAGAGAGTTCTTGGGCCCCGACCACAGAGTTTAGGAGAAACGTTACGCTGGAGGCACAACTGCAAATACACAGCCAGAGTTGAGAGTGAAAGCTAAAGAGGGTATATCATGGAGGGGCTCTATCCAACGCGCAGGGATCATGGTCCAACAGGGAAGGGTCACGATCGGATGGATGCACATTTCAGAAAGAACCGGGCTGGCTGCAGCATGAGCAGTTAAGGCAACCCGGGAGGCAGGAGGTGCCAGCGGGGACCCAGATGCAGGCAGCTGCTGGCTTGCACCAGGCCAGGTCGTCGCAACTAGACCCAACTCTAATATCGAGGGGCCTGAGGATAAGCGAGTACCAAAGGAGGCTCACCTAGTATGGAGATACACGTTTAAAAGTTATACACCCAGCCACCAATCTGTCCAAGTATTCTCCAGTCTCCTACCTGGGTGCATACATCTTTCAAAGGAGCTGGCGGGAGCGGTTGCATTGACGCAGGGCTTTCCTGGAGCCCAGCAGCAGCAGTAGCAGTGAGCGCGGCGGCGCGGAGCAGAGAACCACAGCGCCCCCTGCCGCTCCTCCGAGCCACGGCGTCCCAGGGCCGCTTCCCGCCGCCGCCGGGAGCGCGCGGGGTCGCAGGGGGCGTGGCCTGGCGTGGCCGCGGGCCGACGGCGCGGGGTCGAAGGGCACGCGGCGTCGGTGTCATGGCGGCCTCCATGCTGGGCTGGGCCTGGGGCCCCCTGCGGCCGGGCGGGCCCGGCGTGTGGGCGCGCGGGCGGCGGCCCCTGGGGCCCGCGGGCTCGGGGCGGAGCGTGGCTGCAGCCAGCGGAGCCGGCGGCGCGGGCACTGACCGCTACTGTCTCGAGCTGCTCCGGTGAGCGGGCGCGGCCTGCCCCGCGGGAGGTCGGGGAGCAGCGGGGCGGCGCTCGGGCGGGGGCGGCCGCACTCGGGCCGCGGGCGGGGGGCGGGCGGGCGGACCCGCTCCTTCCCGTGTCCCGCGGCGCGGGGGTTCCGGGGGAGGGGGCGTGGGGCGTGAGGCACCGGGAGCTTTTACGCGGCACAGGGTTCTCTCCCATGTGGTCACGGTACAGCTGTCAAAGTTAGGACATTGAAATGGACCCCATGTGACCATCTAACCAGCGGTTCTCAACCTGTGGGTCGCGACCCCTTTGGCGGTGGAACGACCCTTCCACAGGAGTCGCCTAAGACCATCCTGCAACGAAAATAATGTTATGGTTGGGTCACAACATGAGGAACTGTATTTAAAGGGCCAGAAGGGTGAGAACCACTGATTCTAACCCATAGAATCGGTGTGGATTTTGCTGGTGATTCTTATGCCCTTCGTTACATTGGGATCACATGCTACCGTTCGTTGTTACATCTCTTTCGTTTTCTCCAACCTGGAACCGGTTCTCAGTCTTTGCTTATGTTTCATGAGCTTGACATTTGTTTTTGTTTTTAGGTTCCTGTCAATTTTATTTTTGTTTTTTATTGTTTAAAGTATTACATGTGTCTCCTTTTACCGCGATTGACGTCCCTCCCGCACCCAGGACAAGCCCTCACCGCCCGGATGTGCACCCGCACGAGGCCTTTGGGTGACCTCTCACCCCGCCCGCTCCCCGGCTTTCTCTCTGATCTTGGCGTTTTTAAAAGCGCATAGGCCCGCTACTTTATAGAACCCCTCAATTTGGGTTCACTTAATGCTTCCTCGTGATTTATGCATTTCTGGCCGGTGTGTTAGACAGGTCCTGCTGTGCTTTTCTCGGCATCCTGTCAAGAAGCACAGGACATTGATTTATCTTATTCCTGGGATATGAACTTTTTATTCTTTGGTTGAGAAGGTGTCTTTCAGGTTTCTCCCCAATAAGTTTAATGAATAAGTGCTAATTAGGCCCTAACCGGTTTGGCTCAGTGGATAGAGCGTCGGCCTGCGGACTGAAAGGTCCCAGGTTCGATTCCGGTCAAGGGCATGTACCTGGGTTGCGGGCACATCCCCAGTAGGGAGTGTGCAGGAGGCAGCTGATCGATGTTTCTAACTCTCTATCCCTCTCCCTTCCTCTCTGTAAAAAAAAATCAATAAAATATATATTAAAAAGAATGCTAATTAGTAAGTAGTGCCTATTTTGTGAGGAGTTCGGTACTGTGTAAGTATCCCATTTCTATCCAGCTTTCATCTGTTTATCATTTCTAGATTGATTTTCTTTTGCTTGAGTCAGTTGTTACTTTGATAGTTATCAAATGAAAATTTTAAAAAAATACCATGTTTTCTAGGTTTATCAGTTGATGTTGTACTGGTGGTGAAGTATTTCCTTCTCTTCCTATTTATTCTTTTTTTGTTGTTGCTGTTAACCCTCACCTACGGATACTTTTTCCATTGATTTCTAGAGAGAGTGAACGGGAGGGAAGGAGGGAAGGGGGAGAAGAGAGAGAGAGAGAGAGAGAGAAACATCGATGTGAGAGAGACACATCTATTGGTTGCCTCCTGCACGTGCCCTGACTGGGACCGGGGATGGAACCTGCAACCCAGGTACATGCCCTTGACCTGGAATTGAGCCCACAACCCTCCCGAGCCTAGGCTGCTGGTCATAACCGCTGAGCCACACCGGCCAGGGCTATTTAGTCCTTCATTTATGTTGATACAGGCTCATGGGTCCTGTTACAGTCTGTTGACTGTCATTATTTCTTGATGTTCAAATTGTCCCAGATGTGGCCAAAGGGAACTTGATCATGTCCATTTCTTTGTCCTTTTGACAAACCCCTTCATTCTTTGAACATTTCTTTCTGCTCAAGAAGGTGTTTCAGGCTTATCTTGTATTTTCTCTGCCCCAGTCCTGGAGTCAGTCTTTCCTCCAAGGATTCCTAGCGTTTGTTTGTTTGTTTTTTCAGTGGAGAAAGGTATTTAGAAACCAAGATCTTGGTGTCGGGTGTTTGCTGATACTGCGGCCAAGGTGGGAGGAGTAGCATTGCTTCTAGGCGCACTCAGCAGACATCGCTAGGAAACAAGTACAGTATGTGCTAGTGGGTGTGCATACATGCAAGCACCCCCACACCCCTCTATTGTTTTCTGTCTTTATGTCTTATCTGTTTATTTATCTATGTATTAAAAACTGCGAGTTCATACCAGGACTTGCTGGAACTACTTTGGTAGCTCATTTGAATTCTTACAAAGTGACTCTGAAACCACTGAAATTATAAGTACTATATAAGGCAAAATAAATTAATGGAGATTAATTATTTCTTATTTTTAACTGGTCTGGGATTGTAGGCAGATACATTTTTAGTAACTGTAGAAAAACAGGTATAGAATATAAGAAATTTCAGGCCTTTTTTGAATTGAAGCCTCATTATTTTCAGATAATTCTGGTTAGTATTTTTTTGTGGGCAGTTTGGAAGTCAAAAGTAACTGTCTTTTTTTCTTTTTGCCTATCTGTTACAGGAAACGAGATTATGAAGGCTATTTATGCTCCCTGCTGCTTCCTACAGAATCCAGAAGCTCTGCTTTTGCACTGAGAGCCTTCAATGTGGAACTGGCTCAGGCTGGTATTAAAATTCCTTTAAAATTATTTGCAAAAATGGTGATATAACGTGTTTAATGCTGAACAATAAAGAAATATAAGTGAAATAAGTCAGACAAAGAAAGTCAAATCGTATGGCCTCATATATGGAATCTAAAGCAGGACAAAAGAAAAAGCCCCCAAACTCATAGATACGGAGACCAGGTTGATGGTTGCCAGCGACAGGGCTGGGATATGGGTGAAATGGGTGGTCAAAAGGTACAAGCTTTGTTATAAACGAGTAAGTCCTGGGGATGTAATGTACAGCATGATGACTATAGCTAGTAATACTGTATTGTATGTTGAAAGTTACTAAGAGTAGATCTTAAACGTTCTAATCACAAGAAAAAGAAAGTTTATAACTGTGTACTGATGGATATTAACTACACTTATTGTGGTGATTACTTCACAATATATACATATATCAAATCACGTTGTATACCTGAAACTACTGTACTGTTATGTATCAATTATATCTCAGTTTTTAAATATTTACCCCCTAGATTTAGCATGCATTGGTGCTTCTTGCCTGAATCTCACAAGGCCATTCTTAATTAGTAGTGAGTGAAGGAGACTGTAAAATAATTACCTAGTGATTGAATGAGTTTATTTAAAATGTCCATACAGTAATACTTTTTGTGGTGTACAGTTCTATAGGTTTTGAAAAATGCATAGTCATGTACTCACCACCATAGTCATGAGAAAACAATTCCAGCAACCAAAAAATTCCCTTTATAGTCAACCTCACCCCTCACCCATACTATTTTACAGATCCTTCTGCTTCCAGGTTATTTTGAAGTACGTTTCAGATAAACTTTTCTATCTGTCAACATTTCAGTATGTATCTCTAAAAGATAACTCACTTAGAAATAACCATAATGCCATCATCATACGTTAAAAACTTAATAGTAACTTCTTAATATCATTAAACATCTGGTGTTCAGATTTTCCAATTTCTCTCTCTCTTCAAATCAGGATTCAGTAAGGTTTACATGTAAAGGCCAGTTGATCTAGTTCTTAAATTTTTTTTAAACTAAACTTCTCCTCCTCTTTGTTTTTTCTTGCCGTTGTTTTCTAGAATCTCTTCTATTTTCGAAAATATTTTTGAATAAGCACCAAGTAATTTGTAGCTTTTACTTAGAAAACTCATAATGACAGTTTAACTTTAAGGAAAAATTAAAACAAATGTATATAGTTTTTGGCTGAATTATGTGATTATGCAGTCATAAATATTGATTGTTTAGACTGTCAACAGTGCATTTATTAAAGTTTTAAAACCCTATTTATAGATTAAGGATTCAGTTTCGGAGAAGACAATTGGACTGATACGAATGCAGTTTTGGAAGAAAACTGTGGATGACATATACAGTGACAATCCACCACGTCAGCCTGTGGCCGTTGAACTGTGGAAGGTAAAAAAAAAAATTGTAAGAATTTTATTTGAGCATATTTTTGATGCATACAATTTGGATAATAGTGATAGGCAGTCTGTCCTAAAATGATTGTTAGGCTCATGTAATGTTCTGATATATGTTAGTTTGGAGGGAAGAATTTAAAATTATACACGAATAATTTGCACAGATTTTTGATGTATTTCTTTATTAAAGGAAAAAAGAGGGATCTGGTCACTTTTTGTTATCAATTATTTTCCACATATTTGGTTGCAGAATTTAAACCCTACACATTTGAAGCAATGGCAGGTAAATTTTCTGTTCTACCTCTGAAGGGAGACATGCTCTCAATATTGTCTAGACAGAAATCTAAAACTGCCTTTCTAGTTTGATAGGATTGCCTATTTGTTGGTGAATTTTAGGTTTTAGAGAATGGAAACCGAAGGGCTAGAGTATTATTTGTATAGATAGATGTATGTAATAGTTTTACATTAAAGCAGCTGTATGGAACCCTCATTCATACACAGCTTTGCACAGTTTAGAAATATGCTAAATTAAGAACAGAGGAAGGGAATTAGGTGCTTTTGTCACTGATCTGTGTCCCCATTGTAATATGATGAGTGCCGAAAGACAGTTTCTGTGCCAGCAGCCACTCACAGACCTGACAGTGGTACACCTCTTCTCAGGTCTGTGCGCCAGCAGAGGCAGACCCCGTTTCTGGGCCCCAGATTGACTTCACAGAGCCCCAGTAAGGATGGAAAGCCAGGCCCCTCCAGCAGGGACTGAGAAGAAAAAGTGGATGGGAAGCTGTGAGTATTAGATTAGTTGTTGACCTCTATTCATCCCACTTCAGTAACTTCAACCTAGGTGACTCAGTTTAGAGAAAAGTATCTCTAAAATCCAGAAACTTTCTGTTGATTATTATTATTATTATTATTATTATTATTTAAATACATATTTATTGATTTCAGAGAGGAAGGGAGAGGGAGAGAGAGATAGAAACATCAATGATGAGAGAGAATCATTGATTGACTGCCCCCTGCACACCCCCTACTGGGGATCGAGCCAGCAACTCGGGCATGAGCCCTTGACCAGAATCTACAGGCAAACCGGCTGGTGCTGTTTATTATTTTATACACAAACCTCACTGCAGTAGAGGTTTATACTAAGACTTGCATTGAAAGTTCTGGCCTTAGTCAGGAAATATCATGAAGAGTCAGAATTCCTTTAACACAAATTTATCTTGCTTTGGATTTTCTTAAACACAAGACATATCTGAATTACAGAATGTTTAAATCTGTGCCAATTTGTCCAATTTTATAATAACAGCTTAAATTTTAATGATTAATGTTGGCCAGCTCTTTTTTTTTATTTAATATATTTTATTGGTTTTTTACTGAGAGGAAGGGAGAGGGGTAGAGAGTCAGAAACTTCAATGAGAGAGAAACATCGATCAGCTGCCTCCTACACACCTCCCACTGGGGATGTGCCTGCGACCAAGGCACATGCCCATGACCGGAATTGAACCCGGGACCCCCCGGTCCGCAGGCTGATGCTTCATCCACTGAGCCAAACCAGCCAGGGCTGGCCAGCTCTTTTATATGACCAGTGCTGAAGGTTAATACGAATATTTGAAAGGAGCAAGTAGTGTTCAGAGCATTTGCCCTCCTTGTATGTTCTTTATCCTCCTCATTCTGCAGGAGCATGTGCTTATATTACCACTGTCCAGTAAAACCTCCCATTGGTTCTTCGAAGAGTCTCAGGTTCCTTAAGAGATAAGTAGAGAAACAGTGACCATGTTGTCTGAGGGCACGTTCCTGCTGCACTCTTTCATTGGTGCTTTTAGAGTACAAAGTAGTTGAATATCTAATTTCTCAGACATTTCATATGGGTTTCTCCATTTCTCTGTAGTTTAAATTTATGTTTATAGCCAAGGTCTTTATTCTGTTCGACTTCTGTTTTCAAAGTCTTTATGCTTTATTCAGCTGGTTTTCAGCTTCCTACAAATAATTTGTTGTTTACCTTGATCTCGGATTCCCCTCAGAATGAGATAGAAGAACTTAAATGCTTTAGTGAGTATTTCCTAAGAATAGGGACATTCTATTATATAACCAAAACAGTGACGACTTGTAAATTTAACTTTGATATAACACTTTTTATCTAATTTTCCATTTATATTCCAGTTTTGTCAGTTGACCCAATAATGTCCACTGTAGTGTTTTTTCCCTCCAGTATAGGATCCAGTCTAAGGTCAGGTAATATTTGTCTTATCTCTTAAGCCTATTTTAATCTATAACATTTCCACAGCCTTCCTTTCTTTTCTATGACATTACCTTTTCGAAGAGGATAGCCCCTCCAATTTTTTTTAATAGAACATAACTCATTTTGGTTTCATCTGGTGTTTTCTCAGGTTGTGCATTCTTGGCCATAATACTGCATAGACGATGTCTTTTTCGGGTGTCATATCTTGCCGGGGTCCAACCCCAGCAGGTCCAGGGGTCCCCAAAGGTGTGGATGGAGTCGGCTAAGAAGGAATGACATGGAGGCAGCATTCAGTTCATCAGCAGCCTAGCCAGGATCTCCAGCCAAGTTCTGGTCTGGATCTCCAGCCAAGTTCTGGTTAGGATCTCCAGCCAGGTTCTGTGTCCATGTTCTCTTGCTAGGTTCCCCAGCCAGGTTCTGTCCAGGTTCTCCAGCCAGGTTCAGTCACCAGGTTCTAGTCAGGTTCTCTTGCCAATTTCTGTAGTCAGGTTCAGTCCAGGATCTTTTGCCATGTTCTCCCCAGCGAAGTTCTTCTGTCTCTAGAGAACGTTCTGTGTAGGTTCTGTGCCTCCTACATCTGTATTTATACCAGTTGATTCCAATCCTATCAATCTCTATTTCAAAGGTTAGGGCGTTTCTTATCTCCATTCCAGGGAGTAAAGATTATGTAGCTTAAGCATGATTGTTCGTAGTTAAAGTGATTAATTACCCACCTGGCACTTAGTTAAGAGGTTTTATTCCCTCCCTAACTTCAGGGGAAAATCCCTACCTGGGGAAACAACCTTTCTCAGAGACCTTGGTTAAAACACATAGTGCCAAGAAGGTGAGCAAACATATTAAGAACAGTATGCCATATATGCCAGGTCCCTTGAAACAGCAAGCATGGACCGGCTCCCGGCAATATCTGAAGGCATATTTTGTACATCTGTACCTTATTGGCATTGTTAACGTTCATCATCCAGTCAAGATGTTGCCTGGTTTTCCCACTGTATAATTATAATTCTCCTGGCAACTGTAAGACAGTGCAAATATTCTGTTCCTCATTAATTTCCCCTGAAACATAGCATTCATTGATGGTTCTTATCTGATTCAGCCTTTACTATTATGATTGCAAAATGCTCATTTTCCAATTCTAATACTCCGAGCACATTTACCAGTTGGCAGTAACCAATTTTTTATCTCTCACTCTCCTATATTTATTTATTTGTCTATTAATTATTGTTATAAACTCATGAAATTCTATTTTTTTCCAGTATTTATAGTTCATTACTAAACTTAATTATTTTGGTGTTCAAATAGTCCCAGATTTGGACAGTGGGAAGCCCTTTCAAACTGCCTCCCATAATTTTTTTGAGCATTTTCTATTTTCTGGAACAATAAGATACTCTAGGGATCATATTAACTCTTCCTTGCCCAACTCTGGAAATTGCTCATTTCTTTGGATCCCTGTTTCTTTGGGAGAAATGCTTTTAGAGACTGAGATGTGGGCACAAGGTGTGGTCTTTTCTACTAGAGTGATTTTACTTGCTTAAGTAATACTGTGCCTTGCAGATTATTCCCTTTGGAGTTTTCGTTACTCTTTTCCTTTTGGATAAGTGGTTATTCTTATTCATTAGAATCTTTATCCTATGGAAAGAAGTTTGCATGTAATAAGCAAGCATAGACATCAGGGTGCATCAATAACAGAAGCTTGGGTATTTAATTCTTGTGTTTGTTTGAAAGTGGAATCATTAAACTACTAATAGTATAATAAAAAGTACAGACCAGTGGAAAAGTTTTAGATATACAGTGGGGCCTTGGCTTATGAGTTTAATTCGTTCCGTGACGGAGCTCAAATTACTCGTATGTCAAATCACTGTGACGTTCGCTGCGCCAACTAGCGGTGGGGTATCTGAAGCTGGCTGGTAACCCGAATTTTTTTGAGCTTGCAACTCAAAGCAAAAAATCGGCCAAGAGACGACTCATATCTCAAAAAAACTTGTTAGTCGGGACACTTGTAAGTCAAGGCCCCACTGTATTATCTTTACTTGGAAATATTTTCTAGGGACATTTTCTTTTTTCCTGGTATTGCTTTAACACAGCTGTTTATTTGGTGGTGAGTTATTACAAATGTTCCCTTTCCTAGTTTTGTATTTGGTTTGCTTATTTTTATTCAGGTCTGCAGAAGTCATTTCTAGTGCTTTCTAAAAATTTATAATACTCTTCTTTTTTTTAGGCTGTCAAAAGACATAACCTGACTAAAAGATGGCTTATGAAAATCATTGATGAAAGAGTAAGTTGAAATTGCTCAAGTCTTACATTTTTCTTCCTTTTTAATCTTTAAACTAATTTTTCATCAAAATTTGAGTAGTCAACCCAGTTCTTGGATCTCTGTCCAAAGAGTAGAGGAAATAAGGAAAGTTTGATGGTTCTAGTGAATAGAATCCTATGCTAAGTTCTTAGAACTGAGTTCTATTATAGTTCCCACAAATTGCTCAATGACCTGGGCTAACTTGTGCAATCTTTCTGATACATTGTTGGCTCAATGTCCTCATTGGCCTGATGTTTATAATGCACTGTTGCCATGGAAATGCAAGTTTACTTAACTTTATGTGGATATAACCTATGAATAACCATAACTACAGTAATCCTATATAATAAAAGGGCAATATGCAAATAGACCGAACAGCAAAACAACTGAACAGCCAATCAAAGCAAAATATGCTAATGATATGCTAAGGCTGCTCAACCGCTCACTATGACATGAACTGACCACCAAGTGGCAGTCAACTGGTTAACCGGTTGCCATGACGTGCACTGACCACCAGGGGGCAGACAGTCAACTGGTCGACCAGTTGCTATGATGCGCACTGACCACCAGGCGGCAGATACTCCAACTGGTAGGTTAGCTTACTGCTGGGGTCCAGCTGATTGGGACTAAGTGAGATGGGCTGGACATGCCCTGGAGCCCTCCCGCTATCCCTCCCCGGCCTGTTCATGCACTAGTAGGGCCCTTAGCCTGGCCTGCGCCCTCTTGCAATTTGAGACCCCTCAGGGAGTGTTGGAGAGCCGGTTTCAGCCCGATCTGCAGGCCACTCTCCTTGGGAGGGCGCCAGACGCAGGGCTCATGGCTGGTGAGCGCTGCGAGCCTCTCCCTATCGGGACTGATTGGGCACAAGCCTGCGGCAGGCACAGTGGGGCTGGGATAAGTGGGAGCGGCAAGTAGGAGCTGCAGGCGGCGTTGGATTGTGGGTTTCGGCCCGATCCCTACAGGCCACCCAGAGGGACCCCACCTGTGCACGAATTAGTGCACCAGGCCTCTAGTAATAATATTAGCCAAAATGAGATGGTGACTTCAACATTAAGAAAAATTGCTCATTTGACCTATAGAGTTAATTAGCACTAAGAAAATCATTTTTTCAGATGTCCTGGTTTTATGACATTAAGAAAATTGGAAAACTTAAGGCAGAGATTGCTTTCCTGTTTAATGGAATAATAACACTTAGCATTTGTAGGGAGAAATATTTAAAAGTAAAGGACTGTGCTCAGTCTCCCCTCATAGATTCAATGCAGTGTCAATAAAAATTCCAGCTGCCTTTTTTTACAGAAATTGACAAGCTGATCCTAAAATTCTTATGCAAATGCAAGGGACCCAGAATCACCAAAACAATGTTGAAAAAGGAGAACAAAGTTCGAGGACTCATATTTCTTGATTTCGAAACTTAACTACAAAGTTACAGGAATCAAACTGTGGTATTGATATAGAATAGACATACAGATCAATAGAATAGAATTGAGAGTCCAACAATAAACCCATATATTTATAGTCAGTTGATTTTTGACAAGAGCGTGAAGATAATTCAGTGGGGAAAATATTTGTTTCAACAAATGTTGGGAAAACTGGATAGCCACATGCAAAAGAATGAATTTGGACTCCTACCTCACACCGTATACAAAAACTTACTCAAAATGGATCAAAAACCTAAATGTAAGACAATTGTAAAACTCTTAGGAGAAAACATAGGCATAAGTTTTTGTGACTTTAGGATGGGCAGTGATTTCTTAGATATGATAAAAGCACAAGAAATAAAATATATACCTGGTAATTGGACTTTATCAAAATTAAAAAATTTAAGGAAGTTAAAAGACAGTTCATAGAATGGGGAAAAGTATTTGCCAGTTATATATTTGATAAGAGACTAGTGTCTAGAATATGTAAAGAATTCTTAGAGCTAAACACTAAAAAAGACAGATAATCCAATATAAAAATAGGCAAAGATCTGAGTAAACATTCTTTAAGAAGATATACCAATGACCAATAAGCACCTGAAGATATGTTCAGTATGTGTTCATTAGGGAAACGTAAATAAAAAACACAGTGAGATACTGCTTCATATGTAGATTATGTCGATTATAATAAAAAAGGTATTGGTGAGAATGTGGAGAAATTGGAATCCTTCGTACATTCCCCATGGAATGTAAAATGGTACAGCTGCTTTGGAAAAACAGTTTTTCAAAAATTAAACAGAGTTTACTATAGACCCAGCATTTTACTCTTAGGTTATATACCAAGAGAAATGAAAATATATGTCCACACAAAACTTGTATACAATGTTTATAACAGCATAATCCAAAAACAGGAACAACTCATAGTCTATCAATGAATGAATAAACAAAACATGGTATATCCATACAATGGAATATTGTTTATAATTTCTTCAATTAAAAAGAATGAAGTACTGATAGAAGCTTAGACTTGTATGAAACTTAGTAACCTGCTAATTAAAAGAAGCCAGATACAGAAAGCCACATATTGTATCATTGTGTTTTTATAAAATGTCCAGGACAGACAAATCCATGGGAACAGAAGGTAGATTCGTGGCTTGTCAGGAGATGGGGGGAAGGGAAATGGGAAGTGACTGCTTCCTGGATATGGAGTTCTTTTTGGTGATGAAAACATTCCGGGATTCACCGTAGCTGGTTTGGCTCAGTGGATAGAACCTCGGCCTATGGACTGAAGGGTCCCAGGTTCGATTCTAGTCAAGGGCACGTACCTTGGTTGCAGGCTCAATCCCTAGCCCTGGTTGGGGCCTGTGCAGGGGACAACCAGTCGATGTGTCTCTCTCTGTCTTTCTCTAAAAATCAGTGGAAAAATATCCTCAGGTGAGGATTACAGGGAAAAAAAAACACACAACAAAAAACAAATTCCGGAATTAGGTAGTGGTGATGGTTACGTAACTTGGTGAATATACTAAAAACTACTGACCTAATATATTTTAAAAAGATAAATTTTATGGTATATGAGTTATGTCATTTTTTTAAATATAAAAGATTTGGACATATTTCTTTTCCCCTGGAATCATTGCTGGTGTCAATTTTTTCTGATTAAAAAGAAGAGGAAGGGTGTATCACCTTGAAAACAGAGTCTTTGTTAATGTATTATTATAAAAGTGGCTAGCTTTTACTAAGATTTACACTTTTTGTTTCTTGAATAGAGTGAATAGAGTTGTGCTCAGTTCATTAATCCTGTTACTTTATTGACCACTAAAGGCCCAGTGCACAAAATTCATGCAAGAGTAGGCCTTCCTTCCCCCAGCTGCTGGCACCGGGTCCCTCTGGCACCCGGGACCCAGGCTTCCTTCACAGAGGGAGGCCCCACCCACCCACCACAGCCCCACGGTCAGTGGCCTGGGCCTCCCTCTATGGGGTGATCATGGGGTGATGGCTGAGCCCCCGACCAATTTCATCTCACCTGCCTTGGCTGGCCTGGCGCCAGTGGATAGGTTGTTTGGTCTAATTAACATATTAAACTCTTATTATTATAGAAGATTTATTTTGGGGATGGAGAGACTGGGTTATAAGTCTCCTTTCTTTTTCTTTTTCTTTTTTTTTACATTTGTCTAAACTATGCATGCAGAAGAGATGAAATGGTTACTCCATCTCAATTGACAGTGGTCCAATGTTATTTTATCCTGTGCATATAACTGCTCATATCATTGTAAAGACTATAGCAGCAAATAAATGGGAAGTCCTTTCTTTTCCTAGGCACCTTTTCCTTATTGAGACCATGGGCTTGACAGTCAAAATGTGTGGTTTGAATCCTATCTCCACCATTTATTAGCTACTAGAGGCCCGTGCACTGGGGAGGGTTCCTCAGCCTGGCCTTCACCCTCTCGCAGTCCGGGACCCCTCAGGGGATGTCCGCCTGCCAGCTTAGGCCCGCTCTGTGTTCATGGCTGGCGAGCGCAGTGGCAGTGGCGGGAGCCTCTCCCGCCTCCGCGGCAGCACTAAGGAACTGCGAGCCTGGCTTCTGGCTGAGTGGTGCTCCCCTTGTGGGAGTGTGCTGACCACCAGGGGGCAGCTCCTGTGTTGAGCATCTGCCCCCTGCTGGTCAGTGTGCATCAGAGTGACCGGTCATTCCACCGTGTTGTTGATTTGCATATTAGGGTTTTATTATATAGAATGTGACCTTAGGAATATTACTTAATGTGTCCATGACTCAGTTTCTTCTTCTGCAAAATGGGAAAAGTATTATTTTGTTATCTTTGGGGGGATGCTAAGATTAAAAAGATAATATCTAGTGCTGAAGTAAGAGCTCAGTAAAGTCAGTTTTTCGTGATAACTTGGGCTTTCGAAGGAATTAAAAATTAAGCCAACCTATGTTCATGGTGATTTGTGCATTGAGATTAATCCTGAGGTATTTATTTTGAGGGGTGATTTGTATGATTGTGTAGAACTTTCATATCTTAATTTTATTTTAATCTTCTTTTACTTTATATAAACAGTATATACTTAATATTTTTATTATTCAGTTCTTTTGGGCAAAAAATCGTGTCTTTATAAATTTGGATAATTCAGCAAACTTGATTTGCCTTTTGTTTGATTATAGGAAAAAAATTTGGATGACAAAGCATATCGTAATATCCAGGAACTGGAAAATTATGCCGAAAACACACAGAGTTCTCTTCTTTATTTAACACTAGAAGTATTGGGTAAGTTGTGTTTTTTTTAATTTCATAACTTCTCTTTTTCTGAATAAAACACGTTTCAGACTTCATTCTTTCATAATTTGACAATCTAACCACTTTAACACTGAAGTTTTTCTTTGCATCTTTTGTAAAGGAACAGCTATATATATATTTTTTTGAGCAAGAAGAGGAATATATGTTTGTCTTTGGAGTGCAGACTAATCACAATACTTAGGCTCCAATAAAAATACTTTAGCTGTGGCTGGTTTGGCTCAGTGGATAGAGGATCAGCCTGCGGACTACAGGGTCCCGGATTTGATTCTGGTCAAAGGCACATGCCCAGGTTGTGGGCTCAGTCCCCAGTGGGGGGTGTTCAGGAGGCAGCCAATCAGTGATTCTCTCTAATCATTAATGTTTCTATCTCTCTTCCTCTCTGAAATCAATAAAAATATATTTAAAAAAATACTTTATCTACTTCATGGGAATGTCATAATTAATAATCTGGTAATTGCTGATGTTTATTTTATTTTTTTATGTTAGTTAATCCTCACCCGAAAATATTTTTTCCATTGATTTTTTTAGAGAGAGTGGAAAGGAAGGGGAGAGACAGAGAGAGAAAAAAAAAAATCGACGTGAGAGAGGTGCATCGATTGGTTGCCTCCCGCATATGTCCCAACCGGGACTCGAACCCGAGATCTTTCGGTCGCAGGCCGATGTTCCAACCTCTGAGCCAAACAGGTCAGGGCTGATGATTTTTTAAGCCTCTAAGCTGGGAAGGTCTTATAGTAATGAGGATTGTAATGAGGAAATTACTTGGCACAAGGACAGTAACATCCATTTGGAGAAGGTAATATATTTTTATGTCACCCTAAAGGAATAAATGTTATTTTATCCTGTGCATATTGAATTTCCCAGGCCTGTTCTGCCTGCGCATTTGGTGACATGTTTGCCAACACAATGAAAGGAGGGAGCAAAGAGCAGAATATACTTAAAGTGAGGTCGTATGGACGTTGCACTGAGAAGAAATGAAACACTCGTGTTGTTTTTCCATGATAGCTGATTATAATTCCACATGTGCTCTTAGTGTGATATAGTCTGAGGACAACTTATTTAGAAGTTCAAGTTCAGAAACCTGCTTAGTAGTCAGCTTGTTTTTGTGCCCATTTTACTCATAGACCCTGTTTTTCAGATGTGAATGCATTAGGATAAACAATTAGTTTCACATGTGTAGGTGATTTCTCTGTACTTCTGTTGACTTATGCATTTAAAGAGCAGTCCTGTTGATTACTTTCAAAACCATAGGTGTAAAGGATCTTCATGCAGATCACGCTGCAAGTCACATTGGAAAGGCGCACGGCATTGTCACTTGCTTGAGAGCCACGCCGTATCACACTAGCAGAAGAAGGGTGTTCCTTCCCATGGACATTTGTATGCTGGTAAGGCTGTTACTTGTATTTACCTCAGGAAGATGGGAAGGATGTTATTTCTTGGCTCTTTGCTTTGTCTATTCAAGTAACTGCTTTGAAATGAATGCATATTTCTCTTCGGCTCCTTGGTTATCAAGTGAGAATTTTTGTCAGTCAGGCATTTTCGGTCTCTGGTGGAGCTATGAGTAAGGAAATCTGGAGAACCTCACTTGGTGTAGCTTCATGTGGATGCTTACTCCTTTCCAAGCAATGACAGTAATTATTCCTGCTGTTAGCTTAGCCTGTTCTTTTTTATTTTATTTTATTTTTTAATTGAGGAGAGAAGAGAGAGAGAGAAAGAGTAACATTGGTGAGTTAGTTACATCGCTGGAGAAACCAAGATGGTGGCATAGGTTAACGCCGGAGATTGCTGCCTCGAACAACCACTTCAAAAAACAACTAAAAGACGGAACGGACATCATCCAGAACCACAGGAAGGCTGGCTGAGGGGAAATTCTACAACTAGGAGGAAAGAGAATATCATACCCAGACTCAGAGGAGGCGCAGTGCTGAAGTGAAATACTAAGGTGCAGAGTGCGCGCGCGGAGCGGGCTGGCGGCGGAGGGCTCGGTTGTTGTTTTCAATTGGGAGGGAGTTTCAGACTCTGAGCTCCAGATCCGGGCGAGTCTCTAGGGACCCAGACTCAAACGGGAGAAGCGGGACTGTCTGGCTTCGGTCGGAACTCGAACGCAGCTTTCTCTCCGAGGTTTGCAGCGGTTGCTGGGACTCTGTGAGGCAGAGCCCCTAGGGACGGAACTGAGAGCAGCCATAACTGCTCGCTCCGGCCCGCCCTGTAGATCCCCGGGGACCCGCCCTGCCCAAGCCCTGCGCAGAGCCATTTGCTGGATAGCCTCAGGCAAAGGCTAGATTAGCACCGCCCTAGAGATCCAGCATAGAAGCTCTCCCACTGCAGACACAGCTGACTCTCATAGTCAGTTAGCCTGGAGGTCAAATCATCCCCACTATTGCCGATAACAATCAATGCTTAACTACAACAAGACTGCGCACAAAGACCACTAGGGGGTGCACCAAGAAAGCATAAAAAATGCGGAGACAAAGAAACAGGACAAAACTGTCAATGGAGGATATTGAGTTCAGAACCACACTTTTAAGGTCTCTTAAGAACTGTCTAGAAGCCGTCGATAAATGTAGTGAGATCCTCAAGAAATCTAATGAGACCCTCGATGTTATGATAAAGAACCAACTAGAAATTAAGCATACACGGACTGAAATAACGAATATTATACAGACTCCCGACAGCAGACCAGAGGAGCGCAAGAATCAAGGCAAAGATTTGAAATGCAAAGAAGCAAAAAACACCCAACCAAAAAAGCAAAATGAAAAAAGAATCCGAAAATACGAAGGTAGTGTAAGGAGCCTCTGGGACAGCGTCAAGCGTACCAACATCAGAATTATAGGGGTGCCAGAAGATGAGAGAGAGTAAGATATTGAAAACCTATTTGAAGAAATAATGACAGAAAACTTCCCCCACCTGGTGAAAGAAATAGACTTACAGGTTCAGGAAGCGCAGAGAACCCCAAACAAAAGGAACCCAAAGAGGACCACACCAAGACACATCATAATTAAAATGCCAAGAGCAAAAGACAGAGAATCTTAAAAGCAGCAAGAGAAAGAAACTCAGTTACCTACAAGGGAATACCCATACGACTGTCAGCTGATTTCTCAACAGAAACTTTGCAGGCCAGAAGGGAATGGCAAGAAATATTCAAAGTGATGAATACCAAGAACCTACAACCAAGATTACTTTATCCAGCAAAGCTATCATTCAGAACTGAAGGTCAGATAAAGAGCTTCACAGATAAGGAAAAGCTAAAGGAGTTCATCACCACCAAACCAGTATTATATGAAATGCTGAAAGGTATCCTTTAAGAAGAGGAAGAAGAAGAAAAAGGTAAAGATACAAATTATGAACAACAAACATGCATCTATCAACAAGTGAATCTAAGAATCAAGTGAATAAATAATCTGGTGATCATAATAGAATCAGGGACATAGAAAGGGAATGGACTGACTATTCTTGGGGGGAAAAGGGATGTGGGAGATGCGGGAAGAGACTGGACAAATATCGTTCACCTGTAGATGAGGACAGTGGGTGGGGAGTGAGGGCGGATGGTGGGGCGGGAACTGGGAGGAGGGGAGTTATGGGGGGGAAAAAGAGGAACAAATGTAATAATCTGAACAATAAAGATTTAATTAAAAAAAAAAAAGAGTAACATTGATTTGTTGTTCCACTTATGTATTCATTGGTTGATTCTTGTATGTGCCCTGACCGGGGATCAAACCCGCAACCTTATTAGCATATTGGGATGAGGCTCCAACCAACTGAGCTACCTGGCCAGGACCAGCCTGTTCTTTATTTTAGAGGAGGAAATCATCCTTAAGACAAGAATATAGTTCATGAGAACTTTTATTTTCTGTATGAGAATCATTATTGTCTGTGCTTTTAAGATGTCTTATATGTTTGTTTTCTTGCTTGTGTATTTTTTTAAGATATATTTTTATTGATTTCAGAGAGGAAGGGAGAGGGAGAGAGGGGTAGAAACATCAATGATGAGAATCATTGATCGGCTGTCTCATGCACGCCCCCTACTGGGGATCAAGCCTGCTACTTGGACATGTGCCCTTGACCGGAATCGAACCCAGGACTAACGCTCTATCCACTGAGCAAAACCAGCTAGGGCTCTTGCTTGTGTATTTTTGTTCTACTACTACAACTGTTGTTAATTATCATCCTGTTGCATATTCTTCCGAGAGAGAGAGCGCGCCTGTGTGTATATACACAGCCATACGTACACATATGTACACATCCATATATTTTTAAAAACAAAATAGACATTATATTGTACTTACTGTTCTCTCACCTGTTTTCTTGAGCTAAGTTAGTTTTAAGTACGCTTTTTAATTGCTAATATAATATTTTTCAACACAGCATGGCGTTTCACAAGAGGATTTTCTACGGAAGAACCAAGATAAAAATGTAAGAGATGTGATATATGACATTGCCAGCCAGGCGCACTTGCACTTGAAGCATGTAAGTAGCCTTCCCCTCCCCCCCCACAAATCATTTAGGTGTGGCTGTTCCTAGATCATACTGTTCCCTACTTGGCAGACTGTATTCCAACTTTCATTGAAATCCCAGTGGATTTATCTCAGGGACTATTGTAAACTTTCTCCACTTTTAAAAAATACCGCTTTCTCCCTTTCAGCAAATGTGTGCCCCTTTACTGGGCTTCCTCAGTTAGGTTCCACTCTGATCATCGCTCACCATTTCTGTCTCTCGGGCTGCGTGCCTTTCTGCCTTGCAGGGCTGATGCCTCTCCTCCCTTCCCAGGACCTTGCATGCTCAGCGGTCCCAGCTGGGGTTTTCAGTTGGCCTCTCCGATAACTTGTCTCTCTTATCTTCTGGTTTGTTGCTGCTGCCTTCTGAAGTTATCGGCATCCTGTGGACCCTCCTGTTTCTTATTTTTCCCTCACAATTAACCTTTTTTGAATAAGTGGTCTGCATTCATTGTTACCTCAAGGCCCTCACCACCCTGACACTGTTCATGCTGTAATTTGGCTTTCATCCTGCTACTCTAATAATAATCACTAGTGAATAATCTCCTTTTGCCACATTTAAGAGTGTCTGATTTAGAGAAGGTGGATGTTTATCTATGTGTACACACACACACACAACCCAGAGCTAGAATCAACTAGACTTGATAACTCATTGGATTGTGGCAGGATCAGGAAGAGGGGAAGTTGAAGGCTGCACAGAGTTCAAGTAGAGATGATGATGGGGCCATTCAAAGACTATAGTAGTAAAAAAGCAGTGGTACACTAGGATCAGTAGACAGACTAGCTGCTGGACATCATTGAATAGAAGGGGATTAGAAGACATTTAGGGAGATGGGCTGTTAAAGAATCCAGGATTGTGACTTTGAAAGGAGATGAGAACTGGAGAGAGATTTGGGAGCCATCCACATGGAAGGAAATGGTTAAAGCTCTGAGTTTGGATGTCGTTGCCCAAGGAGAATGTACATCTGGATAAGAGGGCCTAGGGCCCATCTCCATTCCTCAGGTGGAAGGAGAAAGGGCCATTTCTTAGGAAGAAGAAAGAAAGAATGATCAAAGAAGTAGGAACCTGAGAGTCAGTGTGTTAGAAACCAAGGGAGGAACAAATTCTAAGAAGGGGGAGTGATAAAACTGTGCATGCTACAGGGAGATGAAGAGAAAAGAGGTAGGGCGAACAGTAGGGCATGGATGATTTTGAAGACAGCAATTTTAGTAGACGGGTGAAACAGGGGAGGGGTGAAGATGTGAGTCAGGAAGCAGAGGTGGTATCTGACAGTGTACACAAAGGCCTGGAAATGGGTGGGCTTGGTGAGAGCAGGTGGGCATCAGCCTGAGAGCTTCGGGGATTCCTAGTCCAGAGAAGTAGGGCGGTGAGTTAGATGAGGTTAGTCAAGGTGTGGCGGCCTCTGAATCCCAAGATGCATAGTTGAGACTTGCTCAATGAGGGACATATGTTAAAGAAAATAAACATAAAACAGTGACTTAGGAACATTCACTTGGCTGGCTGTGTGGAATGATTTAAAGGTTGGGGAACACAGAGGCAGAACGATCAGCTAGGAGGATCTTCTATTCATCTAAACAGGAGATAATGACCGTCTAAGCTGGGAGGTGCTGGGACTTGTGAACACAAGTCTTTCTTCATTGACCCCCAACCACAGAGCTGGAGGGTCAAAGTTACAGGATGTTATAAGGCAGCCGGAAAATGCCAAAGTCAACTGGTAAGGGAGAATGGAATTCTTAATATAGTTCTTTTTCCTGAGTCCTTTAAGCTTAAGAAATTAATTGTAATCTGCAGGAGTGAGAGCTGTTTTCTTGCTTTTGAAAGAGGCCCTAGCTGTGTTGTTAAATGACCAGTTGCTTTGTGTTCACTTTCTGAGGGAGAGTGTTTACTTCCAGAAATATTTATATTTCAAACCAGTTTCCTTTTGTCTTCCTTCTTAGGCTAGGTCCCTCCACAAAAGTGTTCCTGTGAAGGCATTTCCTGCCTTTCTTCAGACGGTAAGTAGATTAACAGGGAAGGCTACTTAATGAATGAAGTAGGTGTATATGAGCTTTTTCTGTTTTATGAGGTTCAAATGCACGTCTTTAGTTTGGAGGCTTTATTTTTGTTTCTCTTCCTTGTGGTGGGTTTCTTAGTTGCCTTCCGCTTTAGGCAGTGGCCATGCCTGTATTTCCCAGAGGCCAGTGAGGAGAGCAGCAGTTTGAATCTGCTTTGCCTTTTACTAGCCGTGGGGGTTTAAGGTCCCTAACCGCCATGTTCCTCAGTGCACCCGTAGGTAAAATGGGAATCATGTGGGACACTGTCTTGTAGGGTTGTTAAGCTGCTTATAGCTATATGAGTATTACTTATTATTCTAGCAATATTTTCTCCACTGGGACCACATTGTAGCACTGGCTCCTGAGCAGTGTGGCTCATGGACCAGTGCTGAGCTGCCGCATCACATACCTGGGAAAGTTTTTAAAACAAACAGACTCCTGGGTTGTTCTTACTAAATAACACTTGGGATTGAGGAGGGGGAATTCCTAGGAAAGAAACTGTGATTTTAATAAGTTCCCCAGATGCTTCTGATATGTAGCCAAGTTAGGGAATTATTGTTGAAAAATATATAAAGAAATGAGAATAGCTTCCAATTATTTAGCACCTATTACAGGACAGGCTCTGAATTAGGTCATTTCATACATTATTCCTAATCATCCTTATGCATGGTTTACTTCATTTTATAGGTAAAAACCAAAGTTCAAAAATTTGTGATCTTTAAAAATTGAAAACTCATGCATTTTCTACAATACCAAACATATCTTCTACCTTTTCCCCAAAAATATACTTAAAGATTCATTTTTACCCTTTCAGATCTTCTAGGTCTCAGATCTGAGTGTTCCCAATCATTTTATTTCTTTACTGGGTTTGCTTATTACAAAGTAATACATTAATAGTTTAGATGTTCACATCGTATTAGAGGAGGCAAAGGAAGAAATAAGAATCCTCTCACAATTCCATCATTTCCAGAGAGAGTCTGTTTATCTTTCTGGACTTTTTATGATCATATAATTACATATGTATTTTTTGTATAAATGGGGTGTTAAGCATTTCCTTCTGTGTCAACATATACTGTTCTATGTCACCATTTTTAATGGTTATTTTGTTATCAGGTCTTAATGATATTTGATGATGCACCATCATCTGTTTTTACCTTACTCTTTTTTTTTTTTTTTTTTATTAGTTAAGGTATTACAAATGTGTCCTCATCCCCCCCATTAACCCCCAACCTCCCCCCCACACACAAGTTAAGCTCCCATGAAGGCCAAGGACTTTGTCTGTTTTGTTCACTTCTGTGAATAATGTTCTTAACTCTGGATGCCCTTTAGAATCACTGGGGGAACTGTAAAAAAACAACCCAAAAAACCAAAGCAGTGTTGGGCCCCTCCCCAAACCAGTTAAATCACAATATCTAAGAGTTTGGATCCTGACACTAATACTTTTTAAAAACTGCCCCGGTAATTGTGAAGTGCAACTAGCCTGAGAACCACTACCTTAGACCAGTGATTCTCACGGTGTGGTCCCTGGACCAGCAGTATTCGTCTCACCTGGGAACTTGTTTGAAATACAGATGGTGGGCCCCACGGCAGACCTGGAGCTGGCGCCCAGCTCTGTCTCCATCTGTGCCAGCAGAAACCGGAGGGACCACATGGCAATTCCTGAAAAACTGCTAATGTCCTGTGTCCTCATTCCAGCTGGGACACATCTCTTCTTATTGTTTTATAAGTGGGGCATCTGTGAATTACTTTGTTCAAAGAAAAGGTTTTGCTGTTTAAAAACTATCTGAAGCTATAGTATATACTCTTCTTCATAGGTAAAGCTTTAATATGCCATATTCAGAAATTGTAATGTCTTTGAGAGTTTCCAGTAAATTGTTATATCAAACAATTTATTTAATATTAGCCAAACTTTCCTTTGAACCAAATCCTAATTTGTGAATGCCCAGTTGAAGTCACATTTTATCTGTATTTTAATAGAATTTTTTAATTATAAAAGAAATAGCATTCTTAGAGATTTGGACAACATAAAAATAATATTAGAAGAAAATAACTATCACCTATAATTCTAGGACACAGAGACAAACCACTGTTTATTCTGTTCTTTTTTTGTAATGAATTTTTGTGTATAGTTGAAATCACACTTTATATTTGAGTACCTTACTTATCAAGCATTTAACCACATCATTAAAATATTTATAAATATAATATTTAATGGCTGTATAATATCCTATTATATGCCTGTACCTTAATTTCATCATTTCTTATAGTTAGGTATTGTAAAACTATTAAAATGAGCATAATAGAATTCTTAGAGATGGAAAGTTGATTGCAATATATCTGTATATATAAAAGCCTAAGCAACCTTTACGACCAGTTGACCTGTCGCTATGATGCACACTGGCCACCAGGGGGCAGACGCTCAATACAGGAACTGCCCCATGGTGGTCAGTGTGCTCCCATAGCCAACCTCCCACAGCCAGCCAACCTTCCCTGGTCCCTCCCCCGGCTGGCAAACCTCCCGCTGTCCCTCCTTCTGTTCTTCCCCTGGCCGGCAGGCCCCGTCGCTGGCCAGGCCTTAGGGACCCCACCTGTGCATGAATTTCATGCACTGGGCCTCTAATTAAGTGATTTAAAAAAAAGCAGATTATAGAACATTATGCGTAACATGAGCTCTGTTTTTAAATGTAAAAGAAACTGCACTAAAATATGTTCATTTTTGCCGAAACCGGTCTGGCTCAGTGGATAGAGCGTCGGCCTGTGAACTGAAAGGTCCCAGGTTCGATTCCGGTCAAGGGCATGTACCTGGGTTGCGGGCACATCCCCAGTGGGAGATGTGCAGGAGGCAGCTGATCGATGTTTCTCTCTCATCGATGTTTTTGACTCTCTATCTCTCTCCCTTCCTGTCTGTAAAAAATCAATAAAATATATAAAAAGAAAAAAAAATGTTCATTTTCTCTTTTGAAATGTTTAATATTTGATATTTACAAATGAATATGACATACCTGTATATGTATGTATGTATGTATGATAACGTATAACATAATGAACACCCACAAATTCACCACTCAACCCAGGAACTAGAATGTTACCATTAAAGTACACTGCCTCTGCCTTCTTCCTCCAAAAAGCTATTCTGAATTTTGTATTTATTATGATTTTGCTTTTATTTCCAAAAAACTTTTCCCATTTTATGTAATCCTAAACAGGATGTTGCTTACTTTTGTTTTTGAGGCTTATAAAAATGGGGCATTTCTGTTTGTCTTCTAGGTTACACACACATGTTTCTAAAATTTACTCGTTATTACATATAGCTATTGCACATTTATTTTACTGCAACATAATATTTCATTGTGTGAAGTTTATCTTTTTTTGTCAAAGAATTTCTGGGTGTTTTGCTTATATAACACAAGGCAGCTGTTCACATTCATGCACATATCTCCTGTTATGCATATATGTATAAGTTTAGGGTTTAAAAGTAGATACTGAATTTATTTATATGTACACTCATCTGTATATAAGTGTATAGGAGAAAATCCAATTCTTTTTGTTTTCTTTTTCTCATCTGTATACTCTAGAGCAGCGGTTCTCAACCTGTGGGTCGCGACCCCTTTGGGGGTCGAACGACCCTTTCACAGGGGTCACCTAAGACCATCGGAAAACACATATATAATTACATATTGTTTTTGTGATTAATCACGATGCTTTAATTATGTTTGATTTGTAACAATGAAATTGGGCGTCACAACATGAGGAACTGTGTTAAAGGGTCGCGGCATTAGGAAGGCTGAGAACCGCTGCTCTAGAGACTCCACAAGCATCATCTCTGGATCACACAGGCTGTGCTGAGGAACTCCAGGGGAGCTGTGCACGGGACTGAGAAGGGAGTGGTGCCTTTGGAAGTGTCAGTGCAAAACCAAGTGGCTTCTCTGTATAAGAAAGTTCCTGAAATAAATAGTTTATAAATTAGTAGAAATAAGTGAGAACCATAAAGTAACAAACATTGCCATTGTCAGTGTTTTCCAGCCTTGCTCCCCCATCACAAAGAAAGTTTTGTCAGGTTTTCTGTGATGGGGGAGCCTGGGTGACATTTGTAGGGACCTGTGATTGTTCTCCTTAGGTGCAAATCATTTTCTTGCAAGAGCATGCAGACCCACTGAACTTTTTAACAATATAATCTTTTAAACAAACAGCTTGAGTTCTTCCTCAGGATACAATGCATTTTTTTTTGGCGTGGTGTTCATTCTCCTTGATTGAAACATCCCTTTTATATTCTGCAGTCTAGTAAAAAAACCTGGTAAACTGTCATTTCTCTGATCTTTTACATTTTGACCAGAACAGTATAAATTATGATCAGAATTGACTTGATATTTCCAGTACTAGTTCTATGATCCTGTTTCACCGGCCTAATAGAAACTTCTTAGAAGATGTCTTTATTTTCTCTCTCCCTTTTATAATTCTCATTTAAATTCTTAGTATATTAAAGACCACCTCAGGGAAACTAAAATAGCTTTAATACTGATACTGTTTCTTTAGTTTATTTTAAAGACTTAATCATCCTATGATCTAGTGACCATTTTTCTCTTTTTCCAGGTTGCTCTGGAGGACTATTTAAAGAAAATTCAACAAGTAAATTTTGATATATTCCACCCATCTTTACAACAGAAGAATACATTACTTCCATTGTCTTTGTATATTCAGTCATGGAGAAGAAGATACTAAAAATAATCTCATGGCACTGATACTAATTTATTTTTATTAGTTTTACAAAAGTATACTAGTCAGGGTTCTTGTTTATAAACAGAAGGTACTGACTGTTTACTTAAGGCAAAAATGAATTTATTGGATGGGTGTGAATAGCGTATAGAATCAATGAGAAATTACTGTGGGGCTTGGGGGCCAAAACATTGAGATTCTGCCTCAGACACTGCCATTGTCTCCACCAGCCCAGACAGTGTCTGCTGTCCCATCCCTGTCAGGTGGAGCCGTGCTGCACCACCAGGGGGCAGAGAGAAGAATGTCTCCTCCCTCCCTCACCCTGGGGGGAGGGGGAGGGACTAGGTAGTGCTGGCTTTGCATTTGGAGAGCCAGAACTCAGTGCCAGTACAGGTGTGAAATGAATTTATTTAGGGGTCCCAGAGAGTGAAGTTAATACTTGGGGAGTGTCAGTCACTATGTTGAGGGTTTTTATCCCTAACATTTCATCTTTACAACCCTGTGAAATAACTTCTGTAAGGTAAGACAGTTGGCTGTCAAGAGCTGGAACCCTATTTCGACTTTAGGTCTGGCTGATTTGAAAGCTTTTACTTTTTTGGTAACTCTACTGCTTCACTCTCTCTCATTCTGTATTACTGTGATCGTGAACAAAGTTGTATTCATAAAGTGTATTAATGTGAAGTATATTAGCACAATTATATTGAACATTCATTAGGGAATACTGCATTTTTAAAATCGTGTATACTAGTTGATCTTCCCACTGATAAGCTCTGGGCTACATACTTTGATCAGTGGTCTCATTTGATCTTTAAAACTCTATGAAATAAAGAATTTTTTGGTCATTAAAAAATTTAAAATATAAAATACACACTAGTTGCAAAAACAAAATTGTTTGCATTGCTGGTAATGGCAGATCTAGACTCTGAGAGTGAGTCCCTGACTCCCAAGGCCAGGATTATGCCCCAGTTTCCTTTTCCTGTCTCCAGTGGTCTTGTCTCCTGTTCGTTCACACCTCCCATGTACTGTTCCATATCCCATCTCTCTTGAGCCTTTGGTTTCAGCTATGGCTTAGTGCCTACTACAACTGTGGCTTAAAATATTATTGTTTTTTTGGCCCAGCCAGTGTGGCTCAGTGGTTGAGCATCAGACTGTGAACCAGGAGATCACATGCCCAGGTTGTGGGCTCGACCCCCAGTGTGGGGCATGCAGGAGGCAGCCGATCAATGATTCTCTCTCATTGTTGATTTTTCTATCTCTCTCCCTCTCCCTTCTCTGAAATCAATAAAAATATATTTTTTAAAAAATACTCTTTTTTTTTTTTTGCAAATAAAACTTAAACTGAGAGCTGCTTGTGGGTAAGAATACATTGTTTTGTTCATCTTGGGATCCCCAGCACCTAGAATGGCTTCTGATTTAGAGCAAGTAGAGGTTAATAAATGTATAATTGAATGAATGTGCAATGTGATTATATGTGCTAAGTATACTCTTAGTTGATCCTGATGCTGAAAGAATATTCTTGTGTTTAAATGTGTGGCTTTATAGACTTTTTAGCTTATCTGAAAAAGGCAAGTACAAGGAAATGGGACACATTTCCCCTTGGGATTCTGAGTGATCCAGGGTTGAAGAGTTGATTAGGGATAGTCTTTGTTAGCATTGTCTGTGGGTCTTCCTAGGTTCAGTGTGGCAGCAATCAGCTGCTAAGCATCTTGGTTCTTATCTAAGGTTCTTACAAAGAAGGGTTTAAACTCTGGTGGATTGCTGGATTTTTTCACTGGCTCAGAAGTCTGTTTACTACTAAGTAAATCATTTCAAAATACTTTCTAAGCCATTTTAAATTTGATGCGTAGAGATTTGAATAAACTGAAGTTTCCAGTCTCCTAGAGATTAAGATGGGATCTTCTTCAGAGACACTTACTCTTCTATTCATTTCCTGGCATAAAAGATACTTAGATGGTGCCAACATTCTTTTTCATTTTTCACATCTCTGGGTTTTTTTTATTAGAGCATTTTAAAGGAGTCAGATACATTTTCAAACCATTTAAGATGTATTTTGATACTGATTCTGTGGAGTGTAATAAATTACAAATGTTAAGTACTAATTACAGGTTAATCTCAATGCAGGTCAAGTTGCATATTATTATAAAATATATTTTGGGTAGTTCCCAATCAACTGACATTATTCTTTACCTCCTTTTAGTTAAATCTCTCCTTTTGATGAAATTAAATTACTCTTGAGAACTTCAGCAGCAGCTAACACCGAGCATGAGTTGGACAGGTGGTGTGCTCTGCACTCTTATGCATTCATCTTCACAGAGAAGTAGGTCTTTATTTTTGAAATGATAAAACTGCCTCAAGAGATGTTAAGTTCAAGGTCACACAGCCATTAGTACTAGAGCTGGATGTCAAACCTACATTACTTTAATTAATGCCAAAGCCCAACCCGTGTATCTTTACCATTCTTGAGATGGTAAAATAAATTGCCAAGTTGAAGAGTTCAAGGGACTTTTTTCAGAAAAATTTACTACATAAATTTTAGGTACAAATTAGGTTTAAAAAGGTATGGTTACTACATAAATTCCAACTGCAAATTAGGTGGAGGGAACTGGGCAGAGGAAATAGACATGAAGTGCTGGTCACTGGGTGGTATAAGCATGGAGGGCACAGCACCGCTTGGGAGGAAAAAGGTTGCCCAAAGGAGATGGCATGGGGGAAGTGCCAAGAAAGTTGGGTAGGAGCCAGGGTTTGGGGACTGGGTGTAGATGGGAAGGCCTGGCTGAGGGAGCAGTACCAGCAAAGGCAGAATGGATAGCCTGTGTCAAGACTTAATTTTTGGCTCTGAAGTGAAAACAATGTAATAATGTTCAGAGTTCTTAGTAAATAAGTTTGTGAATATAAAGTGGCCACATCTCCTGGTCTAGTGAAACATTTGGAATTAAGATAAAAGACTTGGGAGTTGATATTTTGCCTGTGTCAGCAAATCTCTAGGTGCCCTTAGATTTGTTTAGCTCATAAGTAGGACATCTCTGCAGATGCTTGACCTAATCGATTACCTTGTCCAGAAAGGTCTACCGAGTTGTAAACATGCAGACAGGTATTGAAAACAAAGCATCCTACTGTTTGTGCCTATAAGGAGGACCAGGCACAAAACCACATGCACCCAGAACTGGGAGGGATATTGGAAGTGAGTTGGAACAATGGGAGAGGAGTTGGGGGAGTGACTGAGAATATGTTAAGTAACTTGGATACCACTCTACCTTTTTCTTGTAATGAACATATACTTCTTGGGCAACTGGAAAGTTATTTCTTAAACATTAGGAACCTTCAATGGACATGAATTTTCTTATCATATCTGTATGTACCAGATAAAAGAATTTGTTCAAAAACAAAAGGAATGGCATTTGGCACAATAAATTATTAAATATGTAACTTTTTCTGTACTAAAGTGTAGCCATGCTTTTGGGGCCAGGCCCCTCTCCAGCTAGACAGCTCTGCGCCATTGCAGGCCCATCACTTTGCACTGTGCTGGTCTACTCTGCTCTGCTCCGGGAAGACAGCTCAGGTGTGTGTTAGCACAGCTAGGCAAATGCAGTCTTCCACCTTCGCTGGAAAGGAAAAGTGTGCTCCCATAGCCAGAGTGGAGGGAGCCGATATGGACAGAAGGTCCTGCCTCTGGTCCCTGATTGGCCAGTTCTCATGCAAATGAGGACTCCAAATACATGCAGTTGATTGGTTGAAAGGGTAATTTCTGATTGGTCAGAGTGGAGCTGCTCTGTTTGGTGAAGATGTTGAAGGACCCTATAGCTGGGCAGCTCCCATTGGGTGGGGAAAGCCTCAGTCTTATTAGTTGAAATAGGATTCCAGGAACTCTTTTCTAAGGGCTGGCTCAGATGGCAGAAACACCGTGCAGGCAGGGAGTTCATAGGCTTCTCTGAAGTGCAAGGTGGGTGACCGGACTCTGTAGAAATACATGCTAGGCTCTGTTTTTAAAAATTTGAGCCCGGTTAGCCACCAGGGTCCGCACAAGGAATGGTAGATTTCAGTCAGATCCATCCTCCAACATGGAGACCTCAAAGTCTTTAGTGTAATTGAGGCCTTTCTTCATGTCAGTGCCACCACGTTGCCAACGCCATGGGGGCACCACCCCAATCCAGAGAGATTTGGTTTCCTTGAATGCCGGCTTCCCTCTCAGGGTGTGTTCTATGGACCACCCCCAGCCACCACTCTCCTGAGTTGCTAGCCAACAAAAATGGCTGTGCTCACCGTGTCGGCCTCCACATTCCACTCCCTCGATGCCCCTGACTGGCCAACATTTCTATGGTTCGTGCAAGAGGTTAGCTGTGCTGAGTTCCTGCTACCTTCCCTATTCTGAACAGAGAGGAGAGCTCCTCTAGCAATGGTCTCTGGAGATCCGCCTCTTGGGTGTTCCACCTTTCCCATCTTTTCACTCCAGGTTACAGGGCCCAAGCCTTCACACTGGGGCTTGCAGGAGGCACACACCCACCCTTGGAGTTGAGTTCTACTTATGCCTAACCACCCCACTTCTGTCTCATCTCCAAAGTGTGTGTGTGTGTGTGTGTGTAAAAGCTGACTGTCCGACCAGTAGCTATGACACACAATGACCACCAGGGGGCAGACCCTCAACGCAAGAGCTGCCAAGCAAAAGCAACTTTGCAGAGTGCCCTCTCGCACTCTGGGACCCCTCGGGGGATGTCAGACTGCGGGTTTTGGCCTGATCCCCGCAGGCCAGGCCAAGGGACCCCACTCAGCAGATGCCCTTTGAGTACCGGTGTCTCCCAGGTGCAGCCGGCCAGGGAGGGCCCGCAGGAGGTTGACTCCAGGGTGTGTCCAGCCCATCTCTCCCAGCCCTGCCCCGCCGGCCACCTTCTAATTAATTTACTTTCAATGTGTATGAATCTGTGCACCAGGCCTCTAGTTTCCTATAATAAAGCATCTGCAAGTGATCACCGGTGCTTTCTTTGGTCTCCTTTCACAGCTCCAGGCTTTAGGAGACCATCGCAAATGTGGCTTCCCAAGCCCCTTCCCTTCAGCTGCAGAGTGTTGAGGCTCTTCTGTGATGGGCTGGGCAGTGGATGATGATCCCTAAATCATACATGAGGCTTTGGAGTGACTTGAACATGGATAGATCTACGTGCTCTAGAAACTGATTTTAACGGACCAGACACTGAAGGTTTAATTCTGGGGCCGTCCCGACCCTTCTTGCCTCTAACCTGTTCCTGCCTTTCCTCCCACTGTGTAAGGAATAAATAAGCAATCACTAAACGTTCCCGGGGTGAGGATATCCGTAAGAATTAGGTTTAAAAATGATTTTCCCTTCAGGATGCGGTCTGCATACAAAAAAATTAAATAGAACAAGAGCAAATAGAAGGGCAAAGCAAGTGATTAAACTTGGAAGCAAGTTTTGCTCCACAAAACCTGTGATGAAGCTGTGGTTGGGTATTTTCCCCTGACAGACAAGGAAAAAATTATTGATAGTGAAAAAGAATGATCTGATTTGCTGACATGTTTGGTCTAGGACTACTCCATATAAAGTTGCCTCTGACTTCCTGAGTACATTATGCCTTTGAGTCCACTGTTACTGATTTTCTATAGGTTTCAGTTTCACTTGCTCTGTTTTTTGTGTGGGTTTTTTTTTTTTTTTTTTTTGTATATGTTAAACCAACTTATGTGTTAGAACTAGCTAGTTTTTGATTGGATATCTTTAAAAGTTATATTAATTCAGAGGGTGCTGGGAAATAACTGACTAAATACTGCAGCTTTCAGTATAACTTACGCCCCAAAACCTGTGCATTAAAAGATTCTGACTAAAAATACCTATTATGTTCATAATGAATACATTGTTTTCTATTTTTGTAGGCATATCCTGTTTAACTTTCACAAACTCTGTGATGTGGGTGTGACTGTTGTTTTTTATTTTTTTTATTCTTGTACTGGGATAAGCCAAAGCTCAGCAAAATCAAGTTCTTTTTCTTCTTCGCCTCCACCCCACCCCCTTGTCCCAAGGTCACTATAAAAAGCAGGAACAGAATCAATGTTGGCTGCCTTCCAGCTTAATGTTCCATACCTTGTGTGAAGCTGGGATCTTGGAACCCTTTATATTTACCTACCCATTTAAGCAATCTAATTCTGAGTCAGGTAAATATGCTTAAGCCAAATTAAAATTAAGTGTTTAAATATGCTTATTTTCGCCCAAGACCCTGCCTGCAAGGGTGAAGGGAGATGGTAGCAGGGTGTTCTACTCTGATGAAGAAGACCTGCAGGGAGGACAGGGATAAAAACACTGAGGGGACTTTTAGGAGGGGGAAGAAGAGGGAGAGACACTGAGAAAGCTTTGGGATGGACTGATAGGTGTCATAAGGGTAAAATAGAGGGCTGTTGTAATCCAAAATAATAACAATAATAATAATAAATACACTTACTTTCAGAATGATTTTATTTACAGTAATTGCTTTCCCGTTTTTCATGCCATACATTGTGTTCTTAGCAGGGCCAAGAAGTCTTATTTAAACACGCCTATCTGGTGACTTAGTCCTTTTTCTTTGCATCGAATGATAACATCCAGCAGTACCCAAAGTTCTGGTCCCGAGGGAGTCACATGATACACAATGTAGTCCTTGTCTGGTTTTCTCCTAATTGGGACTGTCTAATGGGGTTCGGGCTAAGGAATTTTCACAAACCTAATAGCAGAATTTAGATCTGGGAGGAACTTCATAGGTCATTTAGTTGCATTTCCCACCCAGTGCAATAATCTCTTCCATAGCATACCTGAGTGTGACTGTCCCCCCTTGTCCCCCAACACCACCAGGGACAGGGCCCTCGCCATGGACAAGGCAGTTCATTCCACTGAATTACTGGCAAGTCCTTCCTCATGCTTTCACAATGAACTGAGATCATGTTTCTCATCCATTGGTTCCGTTTGGTATAGTATGGTCCTACAATTCAAACTGACCTTAACATTCAAATTTTTCCTTCACACAGTGGAAATGTAAATAGTTCTCATACTGCCCCCAAAGTAGATGACATTTTTTAAAATGTATTTTTATTGATTTCAGAGAGGGAGAGAAACAGAAACATCAGTAATGAGAGAGAATCACCGATCACTGCCTCCTGCAGGCCCCCCACTGGGAACCCTGGCATGTGCCCTTGACCGGAATCGAACTCAGGACCCCTCAGTCTGCAGGCCAACGCTCTCCACTGAGCCAAACCGGCCAGGACTAAGTAGATGACATTTTGATGGGTAAACCTTCATTGTTCCTTCTCCTTTTGTGGTTTATGTAATTGAGATTCTGCTAGAGGTAGAAACCCAACTCAAAATGGCTCAAATAAAGGAAAAGTAGTGTTGACTTATGTAACTGAAGAGCCCAGAGGAAGAGGTGGCTTCTGGCCCAGTCAATGCCATCAGAGCCTGGTCTCACTTGCCATCTGTGTCCTGCAGAGCTCATCAGGAAGACAGGAGCCACTTGATCATTTGAACATTAGATCAAAGTTTAACCTAAAGAATTATTAACTGTAACAGGCGATTGGAATAATAAGGGATTGGCTAGCAAGATGTAAAAAGAGTTCCAAAGAAGCAGGAATAGCAGATGTAGAGAGCCAGGCACTCCCATATCCCCACCCCCATTTGAGATCCAGACATTGTTGGAGAGGGCACAGCTGTGTCTTACTGAGGGACAGACAAGTCACAGCCACACCATTCCAGTGGAACTTGCTGGGAATTCGTTCTCTAGGATGCTGGGGAAAGCTGTATATGAGAACGCTTACCTGAGGGAAGTGCCATGATAAAGTGTGGGCTGCTAGGTGCTGCTGAAGGACCCAGATGCTAGAGAAGGCACCCATGTTGCAAGAGCCAGACACTGGAGGAGTGGCCCGCATTGCCATTGAACACGTTGGAACCAGGAAGCAAAACCCTTGTCTTGTGCCATGTTTCTCCAGCGCTGTCTACTAACAAGCATAACATCATGATGGCGAAGAAAGAAATGATGCGTGCCCAGCTGGTGTGGCTCAGTGGTTGAGCATCGACCTATGAACCAGAAGGTCACGGTTTGATTCCCAGTCAGGGCACATGCCCAGGTTGCGGGCTCCATCCCCAGTGTGGGTTGTGCAGGAGGCAGCCGATCAATGATTCTCTCTTATCGTTGATGTTTCTATCTCTCCCTCTCCCTTCCTCTCTGAAATTAATAAAAATACATCTTAAAAATGTTATTTTAAAAGGACAATTTTAAAAAATATATATCTTATTGATTTTTTACAGAGAGGAAGGGAGAGGGATAGAGAGTTAGGAACATCAATGAAAGAGAAACATCAATCAGCTGCCTCCTGCACACCCGCTATTGGGGATGTGCCTGCAACGAAGGTACATGCCCTTGACCTGAATCGAACCTGGAACCCTTCAGTCTGCAGGCTGACAC